GTCCTCCGAGCCAGGACAGCAGAAGCTCCTCTTTGCCATCTTTCTAGTTATGTATATTGTGGCCATCCTGGGGAACCTCTTGATCATTCTGTTGATCATCTGGGATGCCCATCTCCACACCCCCATGTACTTCTTCGTGAGCCATCTTTCCCTGGTGGACGCTTGCTTCACCTCAGTCACCGTGCCAAAAATGTTGGCCAACCTGATATCGGAGGCAAAGACCATCTCTTACGCCGGCTGCCTGACTCAGATGTATTTCTTTTTTGCCTTTGGGGTCACCGACAGCTTCCTTCTGGCTGCCATGGCTTACGACCGCTATGTAGCCATCCGCAACCCCTTGCACTACACCAGCATGATGAGCCAGAGCCTATGCGTGGGGTTTGTGGCCAGTTCTTGGATAGTCTCTCACCTCCATTCCCTGCTGCACATTATCCTGATGACTCGCCTCTCGTTTTGTGCCTCCCGGGAGATCCCCCACTTCTTCTGTGACCACCAGCCGGTGCTAGCCCTATCTTGCACTGATACCACTTTCATTCAAATGTTGATTTTCACTGAAGGGGCCTTAGTGGTGCTCAGCCCATTTGTCTTCATTGTGATCTCTTACGCCCTCATCCTGGTCACCGTGCTGAAGCTGCCCTCAGGTTCTGGATGGCGCAAGGCTTTCTCAACCTGCGGGGCTCATCTCTCTGTGGTCACCCTGTTTTATGGCACTGTCATTGGGGTCTACTTCCAGCCCACAGCTCGGTACTCAGCAGAGAAGGGGAGAGTTACTACCATCATGTACAGCATTGTCACACCGATGCTCAATCCTTTCATATACAGCTTGAGGAACAATGACGTCAAAGGCGCGTTGCGTAGAGCTCTTTGCGGGAAGGTGGAAACACAGTGAGGGTCTTTCCTGGAAATAACCTCAGCCGCGAAAACCAACAGATGGACCACATGACTCATCACTATTATATCTCAGGGCTTCAAAGGACAATCGCCCCTTGTGATAGACAGACAGACAACACACGCGCATACACACACCTAAATCTGTTGCATCTGACTTATGGCAACCCTGTACGGTTTGCAAGGCAAGAGACATTCAGAGCTGGTTTGCATTGCCTCCCTCTGGGTTTTGGGACCCTGGGACGCACACACACAGACACACGTGCACGGGGTTGAGGGACATAAGCCTGTTGATGTGCCAAAGACATGACATGTTACAGAGTGAACAGGTGGACGACTCATTCACCTCCTCAGATGCTCTTATTCAGTTCTGCCCATGTGTACCTGAGGACAGCAGATGCAGGAAGATGCTCGAGTGGATGGGAGGGGGCCACAAGGTCTGGGAGGGATAAATGGGTGACGGGTGGGAAGAACCTTGGCCCTGCAAGAACTGCGTAATCTGGAGAACTGGGCTCCATCTATGCATTACAACCAGGGCCGGATTTAGACTTGTTGAGGCCCTAAGCTATACAAAACCCAGAGGCCCCCTACTGTTTTAAATTACATCAGCTGGTCTCAGAAAAATTTAAAATATATACGCCTTTTTAATAGTTGAAATCATTTTTATATTGTGTTTTTATTTGAGGCCCCAGCAGATTGTGAGGCCCTAAACTGTAGCATATTTAGCTTATGCGTAAATCCGGCACTGATTACAACGTCCTCAAGTTTCTTGGGGAACAACATGAGGACTTTGTATCGTACATGCAATGGGAGTTTTGTGCCTCCCACATGCACATCTATCCTTTTCTGTTTGCGGTGCAGGGAGAAAGGCCCGTAACTATTCATTTTGATGGAATCACATTGCTTTCATGGCTCCTTGTTAAGTTTAACAATGAAGAAGAAGAACAAATTGGCTATGTTCCTGCAGGGGGTTGGACTAGATGTCCTGCAAAGTCCCTTCCAACTCTTAACATTCTATGATTCCATGATTTATATCCTGCCCTTCACTATCCGAAGGAGTCTCACTTACAATCCCTTTCCCTTCCCCTCCCCACAACAGACACCCTGTGGTAGGTGGGGCTGAGAGAGCTCTCCCGAGAACTGTCCTTGAGAGAACAGCGCTGAAAGAATTTATGACTGACCCAAGGTCTCACCAGCAGCTGCCTGTGGAGGAGTGGGTAAAAAAACCCATTTCCCCCCAGATTAGAGTCTGTGCTCCAAACCACTACACCAAACTGGCTAACAGCAGCTCCATGGGGAAGTCTGAGGAGGAGAAAATGGTTGGGGGGGGGGCTACAGTCATTTCTATCTTTGTTCTCTGGTCCCAAATAGAGAAAAGGTGGTGTGCCCCTGAGAGGCATCTAAACATCGATTGCACAAAGTCCTTGTGTTGTTACCTAACAACCCCAAGGACTTTGTAGCGAAGAGAAGAGGAGGCTGGAGCTGAAAGAAATGAAAGGAGGAGGAGAGGAGTCATCTTTCCCAAAAGTAAAGCTTCTCCTCAGGGGAAGTAAGGGTCACTCCTTATCCTCTCAGGAGCCTTCCTGCTTTGTCAAAGAGAAAACGTCTCTGGAAACTGCAATAAAGCAAAAAATTACCTCAGAATTGCCTGAATTGTCCCACTTTCTTTAGTCGTGAGATCAATCACTTCAACTCCAATGTTAAGTTGTTCTGATTCCTGAATGCGTTTATGTGCTTGTTCGAATAAAGCTGAATCACTAGCTGAAATCACTCTACGGGTCTTTGTTAGCGCGATCTAACAAAGAGGCTGGATTTATACCCCGCCCTTTGCTACCCGAAGGAGTCTCAGAGCGGCTTACAATCCCTTCCCCTTCCCTCCCCACAACAGACACCCTGTGAGGTAGGTGGAGCTGAGAGAGCTCTCTTGAGGACTGCCCTTGAGAGAACAGCTCTGAAAAAAACTTATGGCTGACCCAAGGTCACACCAGCAGCTGCATGTGGAGGAGTGGGGAATCAAATTCGATTCTCCCAGAGTAGAGTCCGCACTCCTAACCACTGCACCAAACTGGCCCAGAAAGGTAGAGAAGAGTATAATAGCTTTAAGTGTGAGATGCAGCAACAGGTGCCAGATAGAGTCAGTCACCTGTCTTAACTCAAATGCTTCTGCTGGGAGAGACTGGATCATGGTCAAACCCAGCCAAACCCCACCCAATCACATGGAGTTCGATTCAAAGGCTAATGTTCCACCAATGGAGTTCTCCTTGTACTGGAGGAAGGTTCCATTGTTGGAGGAAAGGAAGCTTGCCAGTTGCCCATAACAGAAAGGGGTTGTGGAGAGCTTTGTCCAATGGAGAAGGAGAAGCATTAGTAAGCAAGGCTCTACCTGTGCTATTCAGGGCTGGCTATGTGGCCAAGTGATCCATGGGGCTGCTTGGGACACCAAAAAAGGGAGAGGGCACTGATGGCAAAAAAGAAGGCGGCTTCCAGGTCTCCTGCTGGCAGCCCCTGACCCCCTGGCTGCCACTTGGTAGAGCAATGAGCTAAAAGTACAAGGGAAATTGCTGTCGCTCTGTTGGCACGATGTCATTTCCAGCGCAGACCTGGAAGTGATGTCATCGCATCAGAGAACACTCTAGGATTTCTCTGAAACTCTGGTCAAACCATCGAGTTGAATCTTAGAAGTGAAATCCTAAAAGTAGAATTCTAGAGCATCGCCCTGACCTGATGGGTTTTCACCATAAGGGATGTTGTGCTGTCAGAGTGACGTCGACTCGCCTTTCCCAGTGCCCCTCAGCTTCCAAGCGGCTGTGGGTGCTCAGTCAGCAGCCTTATAATGGCCTATGGGATGAAGAAACGCAAGCCTGTTTGGGGTCGCAAAAGTCCTTGAACAAGCCTGGTGCTATACCATAACCCCCGGTTTAGACCCCACAGAGGACTTCCTCAGAGATGTGTGTTGGGGGGCGATTTTTGTTGATCCCGCAGCAAATCTCGGACCTCCTTCACGTTGTTTTCAGGCATCTTCTGTTCCCTAGGAGGAGCATTTCTGTGGCTCTTATGGCCTGCAGCAGGACAGGAGAAAGTCACTTTCCATAGGTAGAAATCCTTTCCATTAGCAGAAATTTCCAGTGAATACACTCCATTAGATCTACATTTTCATAGTGACTATACATAGAGCCAGGGCTATTTTGGGGCAGGAACGCACAGGAACGGAGTTCCGGCTGGCTCCCAAGTTGACCACGCCCAGCAGGAACTCATTAGCATAATAGGCCACACCCAACAGCAGAAACTCATTCGGATTGGCTACATTAGGGGTGTGTGGCCTAACATGCAAAGGAGCTCCTGCTACAAAAAAAGGCCCTGGGTTTTGACAACATAAACAGAATAACAAGCAAAAGGTGGGTGTGGCTGGATAACCACACTTCTGGTAACATGTGGGTGCGGCCTAATGGGCTAATGAGCTATGCTGTCAAGGGTGTGGCCTAATATGTGAATTGGTTTCTGCTGTTGGGTGTGGCCTATTATGCTAATGAGTTCCTGCTGGGCTTTTTCTACAAAAAGAGCCCTGCATAAGCACAAATCACCACGATGGCACACATCATTACATTTTATTCATTTATTTATTTGAAACATCTTTATGCCACCTTTCTACCTAATCAGGGTCCTCTAGGCGGTGCACATGAAAATATTTGAACAATTGAAAGCAATATTTTAAATTATTCAATAAAAACATACAAACAACTGGGAGGAGAGCCAATAACTGGGATGTGGGGATATGCCAAACAGAATTTAAAAAGTCTTCATGCACTGGTGAAAGACACTGCTAATGGGAGACAGACAAATTTCCATGCCTCCAGGCACCTGTTCACAGTTTCTACACCCTCCCTGGGATCTGCCAGTAGCAGATCCAGCTGGTAGCAGATTCTGTGGCTAGCAGATCCCGCTAAGTGTAGAATGTTGCCAGCTCTTCTGTGGATTTCTGATCAAGTTAAACAAAAATTGTTCTCTCCATTTGGCAGAAGAGCAGCTCACCATTGCTACCTTCAACCATCCAGTCAGAGGGACCACATTTTGGGATGTAAGGACTGAGGTGGGATTTAACAACTTATTCACTGCTATTGAGAAAAGATCTTCTTTCTCAAAAGATGCCTCAGAGCTCTTTTAACGTCTTTATTTCTAAGACTGTAGATGTATGGATTGGACATTGGGGTGATAACAGTGTACATGAGAGCAAAAACGGCCCCGCGCTGGGCAGAGTAGGTGGAGGCAGGTTGGAAGTAGACCCCAATGATGGCCCCATAGAGGAGAACCACCATAGTGAGATGGGAGCCACAGGTGGAGAACGCCTTGCGCCTCCCCGAGGAGAACTTCATCACAGTCACCACAATGCGGGCGTAAGTGAGAATAATGAAGAAAAAGGGACCAAGGATGATGAGCCCACCCTCAAAAAAGATGGCCGCTTCATTGATGCTGGTGTCTGAGCAGGAGAGCTGGAGCAAAGGATCATGGTCGCAGAAGAAGTGGGACAGGTGGTTGTCCCCATGGTAACTGAGGCGCAGGAGGAGCCCAGCATGCAGCATGGAGTGGAGGGTGGAAACGATCCAGCACCCAGCCACCAAACGTCCACAGACCTTCTGGCTCATCACCGTAGCATAGTGGAGTGGGTTGCAAATGGCGACATAGCGATCCAGAGCCATGACACTCACCATGAGGATGTCTGTGACACCAAACACATAGAAGAAGAAGAACTGAGCCATACAGGAAAAGAAAGGAATTGTCTTGGAAGAGGACATGAGGTGAACCAGCATCTGAGGCACCGTGACTGTGAGGAAGCCCACGTCCACCACAGAGAGGCTCCGCAGCAAGAAGTACATGGGGGTCTGAAGCCGGGCATCCACGGTGATTAGAATGACCATCATGATGTTGCCCAGAAGGCCTGCCCCATACATCAGCAGAAAAGAGGCGAAGAAGAGAGGCTGTTCTTCGGGTTGTGAGGAGAACCCCAGAAGAACAAACTCCACAACATCCATGCCATTCTCACAGTCCATGGCTGCTGCAGGGAGAATCGCAACATGAGGCAGTCAGAAGAAAAGGAACTGGAAGGTCTTATATGCAGGGGCCAATGCTCCCTCTAAGCTGTGGATTCTTATATGCAGGGGCCATTTCCTGCAGGAGCGCACAGGAACGGAGCTCTGGCAGTAAGGAGCCCAGGGGGTGGGCACATGCAGCAAGCCTTTCCCCTGTTCCCAGCAGCCCTCAATCGAGCCACAAAGAACAAGAGGCAGCCAGGTAAGTTGCAGAGCCCCCACCACCACCTTCAGGTACAAGCTCTCCCTCCTCTGTGAGGGCAGATCTGCGCTTCCCCCCATAGCTAGCAATCCAAAACAGTCCAGTGGAGCCTGAGCGGTGGGGGTTGCCTTCTGACACACTCCCAGTGATGTCAGGGGGTGTGGCATATGCAAACAAGTTATGCTAATAAGTTATTCTAAGAGCTCCTGTACCTCTTTTTCTACAAAATGACCCCTGCTTATATGTACAAACTCATGCCAGAAGGTAGGCCCTTCCAGAACAGAAATGCCCTTATTGGAACAAATTTACTTTGCTGAATTTTCCATTTCCAAGGTTCGGCTTCTGTATTTGAAATATTTAGCACTATAGAGGGTGGATTGTGTTCTGACTGGCAGTTTTTAAAACCGAAGGCCATAAAATTGTCAGGTTCAGTGATCAAAATCTGTCAAATATCACTGTTACCATCCGTCAGTGAGAGAAACCTGTGTGAACCTTCTGTGCTTGTTATCAGGAGCTAGACAGAGCACGTATCTTACTCCCATCCTGCAGTCTCCCCACTGGCCGCCCATCAGTTAGGGGGCTCAATTTACAGTATTAGCTATCACTCACAAAGCCCTTCATGGCCTTGGGCCTGCAAATCTACCAGGCTGCCTCTTCCTCTACGCTCCGCCATGACAGCTCTGCTCATCGGAGGAGGGTCTGCCGGAGGTGCCAACCTGCAAATGGGCAAGACTAACACCTGCCTGTATGCGTGCTTCCTCCACTGCGGCCCCCACCTTATGGCGCAGCCTTCCTGAGGAGGTCAAGGAAAGCTCCCACCCTCCTGGCGTTCTGCAAACTATGCAAAACAGAATTCCTCGCGGAATTATTCAAGAGGACTGTGATCTGGACTACTGTGTGTAGCTTGCCGAAACTAGGATCCTGCTATGGAACTTCGCATCGTTTGATGTGTCATGTTAATAGTAATGTTTTGCTTCAGTTCTGTCTTTAGATTTCTGTCTGGTTCTATGGCCCTAATCCTATCGCATTGGTCATTTAATGTCCCGTCCATCAGTTGTCTTGACTCACTTTGTGAAACTGCCTTGAGTCCAAGTGAGAAAAGCAAGGTTAACATGTTTGCTGTCCGTCACTAACTGTCGCATCAATAAGTAAATAAGTAAGATATGGATAAGATGCTGAACTGCAGGCTGTGGAAGGTCGGTAGTTCAGCAGTTCGAGACCCAAGTATGCCGCATGACGGAGAGAGCTCCCGTCTCTAGTTCCAGCTCCTGCCAACCTAGCAGTTCGAAAGCAAGAAATTGCAAGTAGATAAATAGGTACCACTTCGGTGGGAAGGTAACAGCATTCCCCGCGCCTCGGTGTTTAGTCATGCCGGCCACATGACCACGGAAATGTCTTCGGACAGCGCTGGCTCTTCGGCTTTGAAACGGAGATGAGCACCGCAACCCTAGAGTCGGATTCGACTGGCTTTCGAGCAAGGGAACTTTTACCTTTACTTTTTAAGATATGGCCACTGAAGTCTGTTCTGACAAATAGCTACACTTGGCATTTGATATTGCCCTGTGCTACGTAGGCCCATATCGACTAGGGTTTGAACACAGATCATTGTGTATAATGAAGTTGATCTGTATTTTATTTGTTGTTAGCTTGCACCTCGTTTGGGTGGCATCTCCCTTTTTTTTTGGCATTCCCAGATCAACTGTAAAATAGTGTCAGCAAGGCTAACATGTTTGCTGTCCGTCACTAACTGTCAAATGTGCAATATCTCAAATACCCCCAAAATGAGTATCCACGAATAACACAGACCAATAATCAGCTATCCAAAAAATGCAACAAAGAATTTTGTGGAAACTAATTTGTTGAAGTTCTGGCTTGTTCAGATCAACCTCACCAATTACATATTACCCATTCTCAATGCTTATCAGTTTCACACACAAGAACTGTGAACAGTCAATTGCGTTCAAAGCAAAATACTCCTCTGCATCGCGCAGTACAGTCTGTCAGGTTCCTCAGTAAGATTTCCAAGGTGAGTACAAGTTGTGTGCAATGGCCATTTGGCAACTGTAACCCAGACAGAGGGTTGAAATAGATATTGGAAGATCCACAAATGGATTTTCAGAGTGTCTTCGTGGATAAATAGAAGCAGGAGAGAGCCCTGATTTGGTCTGACGCAGCCAGGGCCGGCCCATTACTGTTAAATTTTAGACTGTCACCTAGGGTGATGGCTCAACAAGGGTGCCATTCTGGCCGACCTCATCCCCTCCTCGCCTGCACAGGAAGCCTCCCTTGCCTGATTCTTGCTCTGTCCCCGGCAAGAGACTCCCCTCTTTGCAGCCCCCCCAGATAGAAAGGCGGGGGGACAGGTGCGGGGAACAGCCCAGGATGACAGGAAAGTGCCGCTTGCCCTCTGCCGCCCCCACCCCTGCAGTCTCTTTGGAGCTTACTTTGCAGCCTCCCCCTCCCCTCAAGTGATCCCGCCCCCCCCCCCCTTTGCAGGCCCTGCACAAGGGTGTGTGTGCCAGAATGTATCCTCGCCTAGTGGGCGAAAAAAACCTAGGGGCATCACTGGACGTAGCAGCACGTGGAGGAGGTTAATCGTGTCCTTTTGTGTGGTTTTCCCAACCCAATATGATTGTTTGTCCTGTTGGGGGAAAATGTACAGGCAACAAATGGGGAATCTGTATGTAAATCTGAGTCAGGTTGGTGTAGTGGTTAAGTGTGCGGACTCTAATCTGGGAGAACCGGGTTTGATTCCCCACTCCTCCGCTTGCACCCGCTGATGAGACCTTGGGTCAGTCACAAGCTCTGGCACAGCTGTCCTTGAAAAAGAGCTGTGTCTGAGTTCTCTCAGCCCCACCCACCTCACAGGGTGTCTGTTGTGGGGAGGGGAAGGGAAAGGACTTTGTAAGCCGCTCTGAGATTTCTTTGGGTAGTGAAGGGCGGGGTATAAATCCAATCTCTTCTTCTTCTTCTTCTTCTTCATCCAACAGTAACCATTATACCACACTACCCCCAGCTGTCCCAGCATACAAACTACAATATACTCTTCTCTGAGAACAGGCAAGTGTTATCCCATCTAGCAAAGCCACTGGAGTTCCAACACATACTGGATAGCAACAGAATCTAAAAAGCTAGTGCAGTGTTGGCAGAGTCTAATCTGGAGAACCATGTTTGATCCCCCTGCTCCTCCTCCAGATGAAGCTGCCGTGTGACCTTGGGCCAGCCACAGTTCTGGATACCTCCCAGAATAATACTCCCCTGGTGGGACTCAGTGGCTTATTACATTGATCGCCCCTCCTCCATTTTCTCACAACAACACTGTGAGGTAGACCAGGCTGAGAGTTTGTGATGGGACCCTTGGTAGAAGTGAGGATTCAAGCCTGAGTCACCCAAGGTCCTAGTCAGACACCCTGCTCAGTGGAGGATCAGCCTAAAGCATCCCTGGCAAGTGTTCATCCGGCCACTGCTTGAAGACTGCCTGAGAGGGGGAGCTCACCATCTCCCTAGGAACGAGGAGAAAGGAAGCTGCGATGGATTGTGCTGCAAAAGCTCATAAGTCTTATGTGAACATATGAAGCACTGTGGAGAATTAATGCTTCACAGAACCAGAGAGGCTTGAGTGACAGGCTGCTCAAAGGGATTTGATTGGTTAGCATCGCTTGAGCAGAAAGGCTTGGGAACTGACTGCTGAAGAGAATTCAGCTCAGCCCTGACTAAGGAGGGTTTAGCTCTGACTAAGAAATGGAACCATTTAGGCCTGACTGAAGAGAGCTTAGTACTGACTGAGAAAAGTTTAGCACTGATTGAGGACTGGGAAGATTGGCAAGGAGGACTGGGAGGATTGGTGAAGATCCCCATTTGAGCCAGAAAAAGGGATAGATCTTCTAGTCAGAGAAGTGCTTCCCTACCCAGTTGGAAAGGGAGATGGCTCAAAGAGTGGAGTGATCCCTCTTGTGTTTAGAGAAGGAATTGGGGACTTGGTAGTGTATCCCTGCTTTCTGATACCTGAAGTCAGTTCAACTCAAGAGTGTTTAGAAGACAGTGAAACCAAAGCCTCTCATCTCTTAAGATTCTAAGACTTTGCGAAAAGATTTAAACTCTCACTTGCTGGAAACGTATGAATGTGAAATTACTAAATTCATTATTGATTTATCTCAGACATTTTACTCCTGCTCTCAACTGACCTTTCCCCCTCTACCTTGAATAAAATATCTTGTTTATTTTTAAATGTTCTAAAGCCTTTTGTGTGCCATTTTCTGAAGTTTGCATTAAAGAGGGTGATCTTGTCTCTTCCCTCAAGTTTCTGGGCTGAGCCAGCATTAAAACTCCATGAAGTGACAAGGTGGGACAGCCATTTTTCTTCAGATATGAAGAAAATAAAGGGGCTGCTCAGTCAGAAAGGATGGGGAGGGGGGGAGGAGGGAAAATCATGTGTCTGAGTGAAGGACCAAGGCTAGGTCGTCATCCAAAGAAGAACATGAAGTGGCAGGGGAGGGAGGGAACAGACAACGAACAAACCCTTGCAGCCTGATCTAAGAGTTCAAGGAAAATGCCATCAGCCAACCTACACGGACTATGGTGGGACTGGGGTAGCTATTTGGGCTCAGAAGGAAGGGAGTCAAAGCCAGGCCCTACAAATGTTAGGAGGAGAAATCTATTTCCTGCTGTTCCCTCTAAGCTCTGGAGTCCTGTGAGCAAAAATTCTACTTTGTGAGCTACTGACATTAAAGTTGCGAGCAGGTGATTTGGCTACTGAATA